CCGTAAGGTGAGGTAAGAGCTGTCTGGGGTCCTCGGGGTCAGAGAAGGAGTATCCCTGAGAGAAATCAGGGCTTGGAACTGGGCTGGGCCCGGCTGTTTCCCAGCTCATGCTGCGAAGCTGAGCTCAGACTGTGAAGATCATCTTGGCTCGGGTTTCCAAGTATCCGCCAGCTCAGCTCCTCCTTGACCCTTCTTCCCCTCCCCATGCCCTGCTCTCCAGAGTTCACCCTCCCATGCCCTCAGCTCCCCCGACCCTGGCTCTCCAGCCAGACCTGGGCCCTGCAGACTGTTCCTGCTAAGACAGGGCCCATCTGAAGGCCAAAGAGGTGAGCACCCTGCCAGAGGTCGCTTCTTCCAGCCTCAGAATCGATTCCATCTCCCAGGCTTTTCCTGGACCCACGTCAAGGAAAGACAGGGCACAGGAAGCACTCTTACCGAGACCTCATGCTGCTGAGAAAAGCTGCCAACCTGGGGAGCTACAGAAGGGAAGAGAGAGGCAATGATTCTCTGTGAGTCAGGCTTGGACAACAAGCTCTTCAGGCTAGGCCATCCATGACTTCTCCCACTGTCTCTCTCCCCCAGGTTCCAAGCAAGTACCCACTTCTGTATGCAGACTGGCTGAAGTTTGCAGAAGAGAGGGAGGGAGAGAGGAGTAGGGGGAGCGGGGAGGGAAGGCTAGAGCCACTAGGAAGCTGAGGGGAGTGGGTCAGAGCCAGTGGCCATGGGGTATCCTGGCCTAGAAGGTTCCCAGAGGCTCCCTCCCACTGCTTGTGTCCTCACCAGTGGCTTCAGCAGGAAAACCAGCAGTCCTTTAAGCCAATTGGGCAGCCTCAGAACTAAGGTCAGGTCCCCCAAGCAGGGGTCCACAAAATCAGCTTTGCTGGAGACAAAGAGCCCAGTTCAGGGCACTCCTACACCACACAGCCCTCCTGACTGAGTCCCACCCCACTCTCCCCCAAGTGCCCCTGTCCTCCTCCCTCCTCCCCAGTCTCCACCAACCCCTGCTCCTCCTCCACCTGTCATGGGCCTCCTGCCAAATATGGGGTCTGTTTCTGTTGGTCATTGGGTGCCTGCGCGCCACCCCACATCTACTGAAGCATGCCGGAAGTAGGACTCTGGGTCTCCCTCCTAAAGGGAGGGGGAATCAAGCTCAGAGCAGTAAGGACTGAGGATGGCCATCCCACCACTCAGGCCTTGATACTCGGACAGTCCCTTCTTGATGGTGACACTGGCCGGGAGGCACAACTAGGATGGTCTTGTCTCAGGCTGAAGGTCTCAGGGAATAATTCTGGGAATACTTCACTCTCAGGGCCAGAAGCAGCGGGGAAGCTGTCACCACTGAAGCGTGGGCCACCCTTGGCTGCTTGCTGGGAGGGGGAGGGAGGGAGGGACCAGCAGGGCCCCAGACTGAGCAGGGCTCGAGGCCAAGCTGCCCCACAGGAGAGGACATGGGTTAGGGTTGATGGTCTGAGGGGGTGCTAGGCCTGCTGGCCCAGGGCTGGCCCCAGGAGCCAGCTTCATAGGCCTGTGCCCTCAGCCCCTGCCAACCCTGTAAGGAGCTGTGAAAACAGCCGGGAGGATGGAGCTTCTCTAAACACAGGGAGGACTGCAAAGTCCAGTAGGTGGGTGTGTCCAACCCCACCCCACCCCCTTACAGTAAGGGTCCGGCCACAAGGGCACAAAGGAGAGCCTTGTCTTAACTCAGGGAGTGCCTGGGAACACAGGACTCACTCACCCCCTGCCTGGGCCTGCCTCCCTTTATCTCTCCATCTTTCCCAGCCACTCAACTTTCCTGGTCACCTTCACTCACTCTTACAGCAAGCCTGGCTCCGCACAGTCCCCAGACTGGCACTTTCCTGAAGGCTCCTGGGCAAGATGTCCTCCAGCTCAACCTAAACAGGTTCTGAGGCCGCGAGGTCCCTGCCCAGAGCCCACCTAGTCTTCCTGTAGCCTGGTCTACTCCCACCCCTCAGGACAGACATGTCCCTCTGCTGCTCCTCTCCAAACCCCTCCTCGCGAGCCCCGAGGCCCAGCGCCACTCACAAGTTCTGCAGGAACTGGTGACCGCCATCACTGAACAGTCCGCCTATGGTCAGCCTCTCCACGGCACGGGGAATGTCGCTCGGCAGGAAGGGAACCAGCTACAGCGATGGAGGGAGAGAAGCATTGAGAATTGGCAGCAGGTAGCCCCATGGGCCCCATGCAGCCCACGTGACCCTGAGGATGGATTGGATCAACTCGACCCACAAGGGAATCCTCCATGAAACCAAAACGGTGGTTTGCTGGCCCAAGAGCTCCCTCCAAAGCACACATCGCCAGGGGTGGCTGCAGCCATACATAAAGTTGCTGCAGGTGAATAACCTAAACGCCCATCTTAGGCCAGTGATCTCTAGACAGCTGTGCGCCAACGCATGTGGCCCACGTGGCCCTCCAAACGCAGCACGTGAACATCTGCCAATGTTACTTTCCAGCTCGTCTTCAATCACTCTGCCCAGGACTCCTGGCCAGCCCCACCGTCTACTTGGCCCAAGAGGGGCTGAGTTGCCATCCCCAACCACAAAACAACTAGGAGGGGACAATGCCAGGACTTCTTGGCTCCCATAGTCCATACTGTGTGGCCAGCTGCCTCAAGGTGCTCTTTGGTCTCCAGCACTGCGCGCTTCATGGCCGGGGTGGGCATGGTATAGTTGTCAGTCTCATAGTACCCTATGCGCAGGGGCCGAGAGCTCCTGTAGATCTGCGGGCAAAACAAAGCACTCAGCGTGTGTGGGGGGTGGGGGTGGGGGTGAGGCAAGGCGGGAAGGCGGGAAGGCGGGAAGTCCCAGGCAGAGCCCCTAGAGATTAGAGACATGCCCCCCCAACTCTAGGCTGAGAGCTCTGGTGCTGCTGGCCCTGAAAATGCTGATCCCCAACTCGGCCATACCTCTGCGGATGACCCTTCCACCAAGGGCTTTGACAACGATTAAACGAGTGGACAGACCAAAGAGCAAGGCTTCCCACGGGTCATATGGGTTAACTAAGGCTGGGAGACCCAAGGGCTGGAACCTGCCCAAGGCAACTCAAGGCAGAGTGACAAAACTGAGTCTGTAACCCAGGTATCAGGGCTCCTGAGCTGAGGTTCTTTTCTTCCTGTTTTGAGAACCTGAGTCGTAGTTTCAATGATAAGCTATCCAGGACTCCAAGGCAGGGACTGGCTCTCCTCCCTCTCAGGAAGGGGTTCATGGCTACAACCTCTCACTCTGCTAGGGATGGGGACCTTACCCACCCAGCCCACATGTGCTCTCCTGTCCCTTGAAGGCCCCTTCTCCCATCCTGGGACTGTCCGCCTTTCTGAGGCAACCTCAGGGGAGGACCGAAGAGCGAAATGCAAGGCCGCCAGGAAACAGCACCATCACGCTCTCCTAACCCCAGCGTCACTACTCCTGGACACGTAACTCTCTGCTCATTCCCCAGCTCTGCAACTGAAAGCATCCACCGACAGTTGGCTGCCAAGACTCTTTGAGCCCCTCCCCTCAAAGTCCTTTCCTGTGTCCGCTGACCCTAAACAAGCATGTAGGATGCTTACGCACTCCTTAAACCAGGACCCACCTTAAACCAGGCCTCAGAATCTCCATGAACACCCCACCTTTGGCCTCCTCCTCAGAGAGCGACTCCGGCTCTCGGACCAGGGTCTCTCTCACCTGTGCATCGGATACACTCAGCTCTGCTGGGTCGTAGGTGGTTCCGGTGATATTTGGGGGCACCAGCATGCGGTACCGCCCACAGAGACCCAACTGCTCTGGGAGGGAGAAAGCTCCACTCTCAACTAACTGCCCTTCAGCCACACCATCTACGAGCATGCCAAGCGTCGGACTGCACGCTCAGGTGTGAGTGGGATTCGTGGGGAAAGGGGGTGTGTTGACTGAAGGTCAAGCACAGCCAAGCTACAGGCGATCTCCTTCCCGGAGCTCTCCAACTGGGCCGCGGTCCGGAACCGGCTCCGTTTCACAGTGACTGCTGCAGCAGAGGCTGAGGTCGCAGGGGGACAAACTACAGTCTGAAAGGCTGAAGGTTTCCAAATACAGGCGAGGGACTCCCTCTGATGGCCACGCACAGAGCCGAGGCAGAACCTGGCTTCAGACCCGGGGGGTAGGGTGGGGGGGGTGGCCTCTGGAACACCTACCATCACAGCAATCACCCGGGTGCCAACCCGCCCACCTCGGCTCACCTCCTCCCTGAAGGGCACCGGAGGCACGGTGGGGTCCAAACGGAACAAGTCCTCACTCAGCAGGGCCCGCAGACAAAGTGCCAGGCTCTCCACATCCCGGGCCAAGGGGCCAACAGAGAGTTGTACTGCAGGGCGGGGCGAGGAAGGAACAGGATCACTTGGCCCCAAAGGGCTCTAAGACTAGGTCCAAGCAAGGACATGAGCAGAGACAAGGAGACTCCCCTCCCCGACCCCCGACCCAGAAAAGCAAGCACAGAAGTGGACCTGGCAGACCCCACCCACCCTTTGCCAGGGCACAGAGGGAACTGCAGAGCTCACCTGCCACCTGTCCATCCACACAGCCCTTCAGGCCTTTTTTGCTGGATAAGAGACACAAGACTGGGAAAAGGAAACAGCCCCTATCTCTGCTCGTATCCAGCCCACCCCACCACCACTTGCACAAACATACCCGTCAAACCGCAGGCCCAGTGGTACTCCGACACTCCCTCCCAACAAAACCCTGCCCGCCAACCCTGCTCTCTGCTCAAAGCCCAGAGAGACTGGAAGGTAAGCCAGGGCCACACAGTTAGCTCTCCCTGCCCATGTTCCTCCCACCACCTCCAGCATACCTGAGGCGGTTCCCCGTGGGCTTGAGGCCACAGATGCCGCAGAAGGCGGAAGGGAAGCGGATGCTGCCACCAATGTCAGTGCCTAAGCCCAGGAGGGAGCCCCCAGCCGCAATGAGGGCCCCCTCGCCCCCTGAGGAACCCCCTGGGCTCTTGGAGCACTTCCATGGGTTGGTGGTCTGGCCAAAGAGAGGATTGCTGCAGTCGAAGCTGGATGGGACAAAAATGGTCAGCCCCACGCCCTGCTGGCACTGGCGCCCCTGCCCTGTCCCGCACCCCTGAAACCCAACCTGAACATGGACTGGGGGACATTGGTGTGCACGAAGGGCAAAGCACCCTGCAGCTTCAGCACCTGGACCACCACACTGTCAGAGTCCGCGGGCAGCCCCTGGTTCATGCTCAAGCCTAGGGTGGAGTCCTGGCCCTGCAGGAGGGAGAGACACCACCAGAGGCATGGCCAGTGAGTCCAGCCACTCAGCAGCCCAGGCCCACCCAACCTCCACCACCAGGGTCACAGCGAGGGAGATCCACGCACCCTGACCAAGGCCTTTCTGCGGGCCCTCTTTGAGATCCCAGGGTGAGCCAAGAGCTGTCAGACTGGGATGAGCAGGGAAGCGGGGCCTGATGCTGAGGCTCTCCAGGCAGCAGGGCGTACCTTGTAGTTGAAACACTCCTTGAGGCTCACGGGGACGCCATAGAGCAGGCCCCGCTTGGGGCCTGCCGAAGCCAGTTGAGTCTCGCAGTCAGCCAAGTAGGAGGTCACACAGTTGGTCTGTTTGTTGACTTCCCAGGCCTGGGGCGTGTGAACATAGAGGATGATCTGGGGCCCAGTACCACGGAACCAGACGCCTGGACCCAGCCTGACCTGTTGTCTCTGGCCTTCAACTCGAAGACAAGGAGAGGGAATATGGCTGGGACACTCACGGAAGCAAGTTTCTGGCCTCAGATGTCACCCCCCCCACCACCGCAAGGGATGGACTGTGAGAAGGAAGGCCCTTGGCCATAGCCACTCCTCCAAGGAGCATCTCTGTCCTTGGGAGACAGGCAGGATCCACCTAAGACCAGACTCTCTTCACGGGTCGCACTGGGAGTCAGCACAGAGCAGGCACGCAGCCCAGATTCCAAACTCCCAGAGCCCAACACTCTCTCCTGGACCCATACCTGCCCCAGCTAAGCCTTCTCTCTTCCGGGAAGTCTGCGGTCTGAACACCAAACCTGGCGGGGCTGATGGCCAACTCAAAATGAGTTTCTGACCCATGACCGAGAAGAACTGCTCCCGAGGGCTTCCAGGTCTATAAATCTTTAAGGACACTGGCTAGAGGGTTTCTTCCGCGGAGCAGCTAGGGGTGTTCCAGCCTTCTTATTAGCAGTCCAACGCTTAACCCACTACTCCCCCAGGGCACCTTGGGAAGAGTGCCCCCAAACCAAACCAAACTCAATCCCACTGAGTCAATGACGACTCGTGCCAACCCCACAGGGCAGGACAGAACTATCCCTGTGAGTTGCTGAGGCTGTAACTCTTCTCAGGAGTAGCAAGCCGACCTTGTGGTTAGGAGCCACTGCACCACCAGGGTGCCTATAAAGAAGGGTGCCGCTCTCTCTGTAAGCACTACTGTTCACGCCTATAGAACACCAGAGGGAAATGGTTGTGGGTCCAGCCATTACACTCTGGCACGTGGGCAAATGATCCTTAATCGGTCCCCGGGCAGGAAGAGAGGGGGCCAAACTATAACCAGATGAACACAAACCAGCAAGAAGCAACATCATCTCCCGTGACTGTCTTTCCCTTCGGTGTCACCCAGGCCAGGGGTTCCCGTCCTTCCTCTACACGGTCAGTCAGCCCCTCCTGCCCGCCCTCTCACCTGCGGTCACTTCCACCACTTGCCTGCGCCCTGACACAATCATACCCCAGGTTCACACTCACATGCAACCTAAACTTAATGATCACACTCTCTTTCAAGAAATCATATAAAGTTCACACAAAACACCATTCACTCGTTCGTTTCATTTCAATTTACTCCTTTCCTTCATTTCACACCTATTTCTGGAGCACTGAACATGTGAAAGGCACTGTGTTCAGCACAAAGGGAACCAGCTCTGTCCACAGAGCAGCCGCGGTGGATTCGGGAAAGAGGTGGACTGTTACTATGATATTGTGCTGTCAGAAAGCCGAAGACACCCTGACTCAGGCTGGGAGGGGCTGTCAGGGAAGGCTTCCTGGAAGAGGTGACTCCTGCCCTACAGACTCAGCCAGGAACCGGCTTCACTGAGTGGAGCAAAGAAGAGGGGCATGGGGAGGGAGCCACCAGCAGCAGATCTGCCCTGTCCCAGCTCCCTGAGGGGACAGTCAGGGCAGCAGTCAGGTGGCTGCCAGGTTCTCACGGAGGGGGCATCTGCCCTGAGCCTGAGGCTTTCCTGGCAGAGAGAGGCAGGTGGTAGGGACCAAATGGCTGGAGGAGAATGGAACAAGGGGACAGACTAGAGAGGGATTTAGAAAGCACACAATTGGGAGTTGGTGACTGATACAGCAAGGACCAGAGGGAGAGGGATGTCTGGGCCAAAAGCCAGGTTTCTGGCTAAGACAACATGTTCTGTGTCACACAGTCAGTCTCTCTCTCTTTCACACACAAACACACACACAGACACACACACAGACGGCAGTCAGATAGTTCCCACCATGGTCCTCTGTGGACCAGACTCCAGGCCGGGTTTTCCCTGTGACCCAGGCAGTGAACCCACAGAAAGGATGGGGGGGTAGAGCCTCTGTAGGTGGCCAGGCCACTGCCAGCCTTACCTTTCCCACATAGGTAAAAAGTGCTGCTTCCGGAGACAGCTCCCCACTGCGTAACTTCTGCACCAGCTGTGTCAGCGGCAGGGCCAGCAGCGCTTCTGAGTCCAAGTCAGGGTTCTGGGGGAATATATTTAGCTCGGCTCCGACTCCACGCAGACCCAAAGTGATCAAGCAGACATTTGCGGCCACATGTGTTTACAGGTGCACAAGCAGGTGTTCACTGATACATACATGCCAACCCGTAACCAGACACAGCCACTCACAGCTCTGACACCTGAGCATGGCCAGCCAAGCTTTGCCCCAAACAGTACAGCGAGATCTCCTCTGGAAGTCTGATGCTTCGATTCAACTCCAGGGGAGGGGAAGGGGTTCATAAGAAGACTCCACCCCTGGGTGGTTGGAGCTGTTGCTAGAATTTTGAAAGGAATAGGGCATTGGGTAGTCAATTCTTTTATTTTCTTTACTCTGCGGGTCAGGGTTAAGGACTGTCATGGAATGAATCGTCCACCCCCCAAAATGCACATCAGGTTGACTGGGCCAGGATTCTCAGTGGTTTGGCAGTTACATAATGACGTCATTTGGCAGTGATACAATAATGTAATAATCCTATGTGAAGTTATCTGAAATGATCAGTTGAAAGGGAATTAAGGTGAGACTCTGATCTGATCTAAGGTGAGTTTACCGGGGTGTGGCCTATGGCTATTGTTAGGTGTCATTCAGTGAGTTCCAACTCAGATTCTAGGGACAATAGGATGTAACATCACTCAGTCCTGTGTCAATTCTCACAATCATTATCGCCAGGTTTGAGCCCATTGTCACAGCCACTGTGTCAATCCATCTCCATGAGGGTCTTCCTCTTTTTAACTGACCCACTACTTTACCAAGCATAACGTCCTTCAGGGACTGGTCCCTCCCGATAAAATGGTCAAAGTTATTATCCTTTGGACCCAGGGTCCCTGATGCAAAGACACATGGAGAGCTCCAAGGGACCGCACACCAACAAATGTTGACAAGGGCGCTGGGCATTCCTCCTTAGCTGGCAAAGAGAGAACACTTTTCCTTACCGCTAGCTGGCACCTGAATTTGGACTTCTAGCCTTCTAAACTGTGACTGAATAAATAACTAAGGCCGATGCCTACTGGGTACCAAGTACCACATTAGATGTGGGACTACAACAGTGATCAAAAAGGCATGTCGACACTTTGGGGGCAGTTACACCAGATGCAGGGTTACAAGTAAGAATTTTAAACAGTAAGAAGTATATTAAAGAAAACAAAACAGGAAGTGGTGATGAGATGCACACGGGTACAGGGAGAGCTTGCTACAGGAGGAGACTTTGAGCACACTGTTAGGCAGAAACTGGAACTGGTGGGGAGGGCCAGTGGGGCTGTACTCTGAGGACAGTGTGCAACGTGCCCAGCAACTCCTGATGGCCTTTAGAGCCCTGATGCAGATGGATGGCAGCTCCAGATAAGCATGGTTACATCCTTACAGTGTCACTGTGTTACTAACTGCCCATCTTGGAAACCAGCGAAAGCAGCAAAGGAAAATACCTCAATTGCCTCTACCTCAGACCAGTACTATAAAACCCTTTCCCTCAGTCCCCAGGCAGCACCACTTCCCAGGCCCCCAATGGGATCTGTGAACCTCACCCTGGAGCTCTGAAATAAACCTTTAAAACTATTTTGTCTTTGCCCTTTTTCTTTCTCTCTGTTGCCAAATTACCTTACACACACCTGACTGACCGCGCCTACTCAGGTCGATCACAGCTGGAGGGAGAGTTTTGTCACCCTCACCTTCCTCTGCTCTTCCCACGGTCACCAGTGACCTCCTTGCTGCCAAAGCCAACAGGTACTTGACTTTCTCAGATGAAGTCAAAGGTACTGGGAGCACACGCTGGCCCGCTTCAATTTCCTCCTGCTGCTGCTACACTCTCCTGGTCTCCCTCCTGCCTGTGTGGCTTCTTCTGTCGTCAGCTTATTTAGTCCAACATGCTCTGAGGGCCTACTGTGTGCTAAGCTCCCTATTAAGGGCTGTGAAGTTAGGTGCAACCAAGACAAAGTCTCTGCTTTTAAGGAAATCAACGGGTTAGCAAATAAGGATAGGTCGTGATGGTTTGTGCCGGGTCCCAGCCACGCAGCGAGGTCCCCCAGCCTCTCAGAAAGATGGGTGACCTGCTGGACTTCGCAGTTCCTGCCTCCAGCATTCCGAGAAGCTTATCTCTCCTGGCAGGGTCCGCAGCCCCTTCCCCCTGCCTCAAGGCCTTCCAGCTGCAGCACTAAAAGCCCCCTTGCCCTGATCAGGACATCCGGCCTTGGCTCGGACCCTGTATAAGTCCTACTGCCTCACTACCAGGTGTGATTTCCCTGACCTAATTCAAGATGCTCCTGTCCCTTTCTCTGTTCTTCCCCCCTTCCCGGGAGTTCTTTCCCTCAATAAAATCTTTCTCAACTTCACATTCCTGGCTAAATTCCATCTCCATTCTGCGCCTCCGTTTTTCACTTCTCCGCGTTAGTTCTGATGGGAGTAACAGAACTAGCTTAGAATGCAGAGGCGACGTTTCAGCTGCCATCTGAAGGAAGCAGACTAGAGGAGAGCCTTCCCAGTGCAGGGACCAGCTGCTCCCGCTCCCTCAGAGGAGCCCTGGCCCTCCCCACTCTCCACCTTCCCAAGTCCTCCATCCTCCATCCTCCATCCTCCATCCAGCCCCAGCAAGTCTATTCCTGTCCCTGTCCTTCCGCTCACCTCTCCTTGTCTCTCCCCCAAGCTCTCATCTCCCAGTCTGCCAACCAGCTCTTTGCCTTCCTCCTTTCCCCTCCCTCAAGGGCTGAACCCAGAAAACAGAGGACTCCTCCCACCCACAGCCAGTCACCAAGTCCTCCACGTTTCTCTAGCCAAAGGCCACCTCTCATCCCCTTCACCAAGACCCTCAAGGGGGATTAGCCTTCCTCTCCTGGGTCACACAGGGGCCACCTAACTGGCAGCCCTGTCCCAAGCCTTGCCCCTCTGATTCCCGCTAGGGCCAGATAGTGCAAAGTTCAATTAGGTCTTGCCTCTCCCCTTAAAGCCACCCTCACCCTACAAGCGGCTCCGGGAGGCCCTGCCACCAGACTCCTCTGCGTCCCCAGCGCTCACCCGTATCCACCTCACTCCCCAAGCCACCCTTTCCCCCACACGCCCACCACACAGGCTGGTACCCCTCCACAGCCCCATGTCAGGAACACTCTGTCCTTTGCCAGAATTTAAAAACTGACAGATGAGGTTGTTGTTGGTTTGGTGTTTTGGTTGGGTTTTTTTGTTTTGTTTTTTATGAAACAGAGCTAGAAAAAAAGCAACAACAACAAAAAAAATGGAGCCATGTGTATTCCCTCCCTCCTACAGCAGCTAATCCCTGTTGGCATTGTTTTTCTGTAAGGTTTACAGAACAAAAGGCAAGCACCTTCCTGCCCAGCTCCCACTTTGGAAAGGCGGGCACCACTGTTAGCAGTTTCTAGTGAAGCTGGGGAGCAGCGTGTTTATGAAAACATCCCCACCAAGGTCTACACCTTGCCTTTGTCGTCTCTCAATGAAAATGATAAAATTGCTTTTTATCTCTCACTCTATGTGTGTGTCCACTGTCAAACAAACAAACAAAAAGAAGTCTAAAACTATAAGGAAAAATGCAAACATTGCCAGAGTCCCCACCACCCTGGAAAACTTACCAGCCTGTCTGGTCACCATCTTTTCCCACCTCCTCGCAAAGTGCCCACAAAGTCCCGTACTCGTCAGCTAGCTCTCCACAAGCTCCTCTCCCTCCTCTGCCCACGTTTCCATGGCCTCCTACGTTCTTCTAGACTGGCAGTTGATGGCACAGATGCTAACAGCTATTTTTAACTAGTTAGCATTGTGGCAGTTACATAATCTCCTGTCAACTTGAGCAAAGGGGCGGAGTCTAGCGCTGTCAATCAGGTCACAGCCAATGGTGCCTCTGTGTGGGCATGGCCTTCTCCTAAGGATTCTGGGAACTCCTGTCTTCCTCCCTGGAGGTGGGACACACACTCTCTCCCTTCAAGACATTCCTGTTGACAAGCCACATGGAGACACATTGTCACACATCACTTCTCACCTAGAGGAACAGTGAGGGCATCCTGGGTATATAACTCTTCAAGAGAGAAATGCTAAGCCTATCATTTTCCCATTGTGTCCCCTCTGTTTCTTTTTCTCCTTCAATGTGGGAAACTGAGGACTGGGAGGAGAATGTATGCAGGCAAATCCTCTACACTCATAATAAAGAGTCTGGAAGGCCAAGGCTCTAGTGGAGGAAGGCCTTCACATTGGTGAGTTGGAGATGGATCCCAGTTACATTCTCTGGACTAAAAATCATCCCCACAAACTACCCCCATAAGAGTGTTACTGCTAAGAGGCAGCCCTGGTCCTAGGATTGCCAAGCCTAGCAGAAAGTCACCGAGTAATAGGAACAAAGAGAGTGCCGACAAAGGCTACAGTCACATCCTGACCTCCCTGGAAAGCTGCTCTCTTCCAGGCCTCGCCTTTTGTTGGCAGATCAAAGCCAAAACACATCTCCACTTTTTCTCCTCAGTCATTGAAAGCCAAAAGGTAACTTCACAACTCCCTTCCTGAGACAGCCAAGCTTCTGTGTGCCCAGGGCAGGCTGCCCTGCCCAAAGATCTGTCAACAGCATTTTTTTTTAATTTTTATTTTTGCATTTCTGAGCCCAAACTTCAGTTGTAGAAGATCCCTGTTTTGTTTTGCTTTTAAATAATGACAGGTGCTTTCAGGAGAGAAGATGTGTGAGTGCTATTGCTTGGAGTTACAACACCACACCTACGCCAGTTAGGTGAATTCTGGAGACAAAGAAGAAACAGGAAAACCCCTGTGGGCTGAAGCTGTAGGCGGATTCCTGTACCTGTTCCCCATCCGCCACCCGCTCTTGAAGTTGGCAGTCAGCGGGCTCCACTTCTGGGAATATAAGTTTGAACCCAGAACTAGAGCCTTGGGTGCAGCTTGAGAAATGCCCCTCTGGAGCGCAGTGAGACAAGAAAGCTCCGGTACAAGAAAAACTTGTACTGGAATAGGAGAGATGGCCAACATAAATGGACATCAAGGCCCTCTCTAAAAACTGACTGATGGACCGATGACAGCATCA